CCCCCCTAATTTTTAAAAAAAAAAAAAACGGGGGCGGATCCAGTGGGGGGGGGGCACCCCCCCCCCCCGGTTTTGCTATTTTAAAAATTTCAATGCATATTAATGCTATGTGCTACTCACTATCATATTCTGAACTTGTTGTGCCCCACGTTTGAAAAATTCTGAATTCGCCCCGGAAAAATACCTATAAACCAAGCGGTGGCTTCAGAAACTTGCCGACAGTGGGTCCGACATGTCCTATACAGAGGGGTCCGAACCAAGGGGTTGCCGACTTCGGTCAGGGTCCTGGAAACCTGGTAGGGTTCACGTTGGATAATTTGTATGGCCCAATTGTGCTTTTCTATACATCGTCGTCAAACGAGGTCCAGGCCTTTTCGACAATGCAAAGGGTGTTGCTGGCGCCACCACTGCATAGGCCTATGTCAGCATCTGGGAAGCGGCCGTCCCCAAAACAACTTTTTTGAGTGGGAATGGTGATTCGGCTTAATATAGGGCCTGTGGCTTAATGAAATCGACTCACCACATAATCTTCATCTTCACTAGACTTGTAAGTATCTGGATCGAATTCACAGTCGTCACTGGTGTACTCGGAATAGCCTCGTTTCGTTCCACGATCATTGGATGACTTTACAGGACTTGTATCTATACTTTCTACAAGAAAATATATAATTTGTATCGCACTGGAAAGAATATATCTCTCTAACCATATGTTGAGCTATAGACGCATTAACGATTATGTAAATTTCTATCCGAGTTCTCAACATATATTTTTTTTATAATTATAACTATGCTGCTTGCTTAAATTCAAATCATTAAGCAAAAACAAAACAAAAAATAAACTTCCTATCAATATATTATTTGGATGAACATCACTGAGGTTTCATAAATTCATCATATTGTAGTAAATATTTACGGTAGTTGGGATTTTACACAAAAATCACTATTAAGACTAAGCCTATTCACACAACAACAATTCCTTATGGTCCTGAATTAAATACACATTATTCAGTGGCTGTGATTGGTTTAATGTCATTATGAAAATCAAATTTACCAACCATACCCTTTCCAGTAAGGCACAGCAGCTTACTAATATCGATTATACCAGCCATCTTAAAAGCGAATTTAAGTGGTGGAACCGCATTCAACACTCTGCTAGACAACGAATTACTATAGTATCGTCTTGCTGTTAACTTCCGCCTTCCTTCTATTTCCTTCCGTTTTTCAGGATCTAACGTATTGTCAAAGTCTTTCACCCAGTTATAGATTCCTTTTAATATCATTGTCTGTAAATAAAGGTGCATGACAATCAAGATAACACAACATGAACGGAAATGGATTAAACATTACAAGTTTCTGAATTTAGACAAACTTCGAACAAGCTGTTCTTTAATTTACAGTGTTTCGTAGGTTTGAAATAATACATACCAACAAATAGAATGGTGTTGCGACAAAGCGTCTTAGGTTTCGGAAAGACCTGCGAATAATCGATAGGTTTTCTGGTTTATTTTCTTCCTGAAAATAACAATAAATAATATTTTATAGCTATTAGTAATCACTTATGAATCAGCATTTAAAATAAAGATATGTGCTGGAAATGACGAAATTCTACCTTCAGAGCACTATACTTACTTTTATACCCCACAGCTCGTCGATTGTCGTTTGTCTTCCTCCTCCTGGTGTTATTTCTCCATCACTTTCTTGAGGTTGACTTACGGTCTCTTTCTCAACCGTGTCAATCATATTATAGACAGATTCTGAAGCTGACACTGCAAACTCCAGGCCGGAGAGGACGAGTTGCCCAGCTAATGACTGAACGAATGTCTCGGCTCCATGGTTCACCTTAGTTTGAATATCCTTGCCGATCTTTCAACAACAAAACACTATTTGCTAATAATCATTACAATGTAGTTAAATAATCATTGTTTAATTCCTATTATTATGTAATGCCTCGACGTCCATATATATTGAAACAAGACCATATTTAAGTAAAATTAGTATTTATGTTGGTCCCATATGACCGGTTTCCAAATTATATACCATTTTTTCATTGTCTCTCATAACACAAACTGAAATCGAGAGGTCCAAACCACATCAACACCAGCATCGTCTGAGGTTCTATAGTTTTTGGCTATGATATCAAGATAACACTCATATATAAATTTGAATGCAATGTTGTTTTCCCCATTTTTAAAAGGTAAGGTGGGGCGGCTGGGTTAAATGAATAGTAATGTTCATGTGTACTAAGCCATTCCTATGGCTTGTAGTAAATGGATTTCAGTATGCTATTACTATATAAGGCGCTGTTATTATTTGAATATGTGTTATTTACCTCCTCTGGTGTTTTCTGAACGATTGGAAAATTCTTTTCAACGGCAAACAACAAGCCACAACCCACATCGTCTAGAAACCTCGCTGTAAAAATAATTTGTATTCAGTATATTTATATTTTGAGGTACAATAACCAATTCAAATTAAATTTGGGATCAAGAAATATTTTAAATAATTGAATTGCTTACTTTATGTATCATTATAAAATCTGACATACTCTACCAGACTAACGCGGCTCCATTTATTATTATATGCTCATCAATTAGTATTAACCATACTTTGCATGGAGCTTGATTTTTTTTATGTAAGCCTGAAAGTCTGGGAAAACATCGTTTGTTTTGGTCGTCTCATTTAATCAATCGAGAAGATGACGTGCGGATACAAAGAGGCAAGTCAATTCAAAAAGTTGGAACGGCACAGTGTGAAATATTGTTTTCCAAGGTTCACATGTCTCCATTCCCTGGCATTAGAAGTGTAGATTTAAGTTTAAGGTATCAGTAGCAGTAAGATATACGTTACTAATCTTCAACGAGAGTGTATTTTCTTGGTAAATGTTAGAGTTCTTGCAGCTGTGTTCTGGAGGGCGACCTTGATAATGTTTTAAACACTGATTATTAGCCTAACAATAACTTAAATTTAAATTTTGTTACCTGGAAGTGAATTTGAGTAAGTTTCTACTTCTTGTAACACGCTTTGACAAGTTCCCTCCACAATCCGCATTCCAATACCAACAACTGGTGTGGCCTTAACACTATCGTAAGTCCGAAGTACATTTTTAGAAATAGCCTCCACTATAGGCAAGCTTCCAAAACGTGTCCAAAAGGAATCGGAATCTTTCGTTAGCCTAGACGTCTGAGGAGTGTAGATCGGCGGGCTACCTTTATCAGAAGACATGGTTAAATTACGACTTGTTCTATTGCCATCCAGGGACTGAATGAGCACCACTAATACGTAAAGATTTAAATGAGTACGCCGAGTTTATTTGAATAATCTGATTTGACCACCTGATAAACTTTAAAGCCAGACTCCGGAGAATTGTTGATATGTTGTACTGATTTTTCTAAGACACAAAATGGGTGTTTGACGAAAAACTAGGAAACGGTTAATGACACACATTGTTTTGAATGCTCAAACACTGATGATAAAGGTGCAAAAAGGGCTGTTACGCTCCATTTCCCCCAGTTTTTAAATATTCAAAAATTTGTATCTTATTATCAGTTCCCGATTTCGAATAAATACGGTAATCATGAGTCTCGAGTATAAAATCTTCAGCAATTCATAAAGGTTGAAATGGAACAATTGTATCTTAACTAGGCATTTAAGTTGTGTTATCATCGCAAGCCTTACAGACACTTAAAAGAATTACCGATTGCGTTATTAACAGCTAGAACAATGATCACCTCAACTGCTTTTATAGAGTTTTACATTTATGGCAGTCTTGCCAAAACTATATTGGTCTTCCTAATTAGCCCACTGTCGTAATGCCCATCATCAATCAATAACTTTGCACAGTGGCCATCGAATAGACACCGTTACGATGGGAGGAGTTAGGTTAAATGCAATATAAAATGTGGTATTGAAAAACAGTCTATTTGGTACCGAATTGTATATTGCAACATTATAAACTATAACAGGCAGATCCTTTTATATTAATAGGTATAAATATGTGTACCCTTAATCAGCTACATTTAACTACTGTAACCAAAATGGGTGTAGGCATACCCAAGTTATACAGACAGATTATTTCGCGTGCCAAAGAAGCATTACGTGCAATAACATGGGACTCAAATATTTAATTTGCTTCAAAGTTGTTGCGAGGGCTGTGGTTAAAGTCGTATCTTCTAAAATTGGATACAATCAAGAATAAATTTAAGTTCATATTTTCATATCTGACAAAAAAATATAATACAGAAGACACTTGTACACTAGCTATAAAACAGAGTTGTTTTTTTTTTTACAATGATCTAATATATTTACCATAATCTGGTTCAAAAATATTTTGTAATGTGCTTGCTTACGTAATAATAATGGTACCGGTAGGAAATGAAAAATAACACATTGGTTGATTGATTGGTTTGCTAGTTAGTTGATTGTTGACTTAATAATCGATTGATTAGTGGATTAACGGAGTGGTTGAACTAATTGATTGATTTTGATCTATTGACTGATTGATCTTGATTGACCGATGTATTGATCGATAGATAGCTCAATAGACTAATCGAACGATCGATTGACAGATTGGGTGGTTGATGGTTGATTGACCGGTTACTCATTGAATTATTTAGCTGATATTTGATTCTGGGTCAGGCTCACTATAATCGTGCAAACCCGGTCGCCCATGTTTCACCAACTGGGAATGACAAAATATGATAATAATGTGGAAAGTGTTACCAAAATTCAATAGACCATAATATATTAGAAAAGTGTACCAAATTTCATTGAGTTTTGGTAACTAACAACACAGTTATGACGATATTTATAGTCATGAGTATGCAAAATTCGTGTGTCGCCAGATAAAAAATTCCGTTTTAGCAATCTGCCATTCAATAAATGCTGTGCACCACAGGGCTTATAGTTACCGATTTGTAAGCTGGTTGGAAGGTTGTCAATTTGTACTATAAGTTTTTTAAATCGAGGTGGGTTTAGTATGGTTATGGTACAGTTTATCCGTGTCGCCAAGTGCACGTAATTTACGTTACATAATCGTAATTGCTAGGAAAAACATATATTATTGCAGGAAAACTTTAAGGTAATAACTAATATTTGCTTAGTATAAGATGTTATGAATACTGTATTGTTAATTCGGGAAAGTAGAAAAGTCATCTATGCAAAATATGGTCTTAAACTTGAAAATTTGATTGTCGCTTTTAAGCAGTGAAACATACGTTACATGATTTCTTCATATACCAATTCAAGAATTTGAACCAAACTAAACGTGAGAAGTAGTTAAGTAATAAGCATGGATACAGCGTCAGTAAATAATCATTGGTGTTAAGTAATCATGTTTAATTAGTAATTGTAATTTAAAAAGGTAATTTACGTTACAGCAACTACGTTACGTTTTGGAATATTAATCCATATTAATGAAATATAGAGGGCATAGAACTATTATAAATGACTTTATTTACGCCGCCAACGACACATGAAAGTCTTAAAACCTTCTGAGAAAAAATGACATTGAGCAATTGACACCCAGAACCTTGTGTTTACCAACTTTATGTTTCCCTCGAATGTTGGTCCTACGCCCATCATTAAAGTGAAGCAATTTGGTAAGTATTTATTATAGGCTGTGTCTCGACTATATTTAGTTAACAAAATAGTTGATATTTATAATTAAATGTTAAATTGAAAATTTCAAGCAATAGCTTAGGCCTGGTTGAAAGGAATACTACATTGTGAAAAGTCACGATGTTAAACACACGGTAACGTATGTTATTGTTGATATAGCATGTAATAAACATCATTTAATAAAAACATGGGCAGTGGCTGATATATTTACTTTCTTTTACATATATCCTAACATACAGTGACTCTCTATAGGAATGCTATCATTCATGGAAATTATTCCTATTGCATATATTTCTGGTTTATGTTGATGGTAACGTATATTACAATAAAATATTATGTGTACATTATAATCACGAGTAAATTCATGAAAGCAACCGTTACACATTAAATAAATTTACCTAATCAACATTCTCCAACATCAAATAGATAAGATGACAACAAATATGTTTGCAAATAATCTTTGTAATATTCTATTAGATGAGTAATCCTAGTAACGTAGGTTACAAAACTTTATCAAATTGAAAGAACGAGCAAAAATAGGGGCTTAACTACATTATCTTAAAAAAAATAACATATTATCAACTACTTCAATGATTTAAAAAAAAAAAAAAAACAAAAAAAAAACCATACCCTAAAATAAATAAAAACAAATAAAATGTTCTTGTTGATTTTAGACAAAAATAGTCTTTTATATAGTCATTTATGATAGCTTTGAAAAATGTGCTTATTTTAAATGCGAGGTTATCATTTATTTTTAATAACATGTACTGTAAATACACACAATTAAGAAGAGAAAATATAATTTTGCTTTATTTTACAATGATAGACTTATGATCGGTGTTACATAATTATATGAAACTTACGTTACTAACATTTACATACAAAATGCGATTATCATTGGAACTGAGTGTATGTTTAACAAATTTATGTCATTTGTTACCAGAGCATCTCCGTAATTTATAGGTACATTTTACACTCAGTTATAGATAATCGTCTTACAACAACCTATTATTCAACATTGGTTCAGTAACTTACGTTATCGCATATCAAATGTATTGGTAATGTTAAAGGGTATGCTGTGAAAAAAATATTTGAAGTTAAATGTTACGATTTTTATTGAATTGTTCTTGACATATTAAAGTTCCGTTCTAAAGAAAACCCTAGTTTGTTAATTGAACTTTATTTTTCTTGATTTTTAAAAGACCAATTGCACGTTTATAATGAGCCTGACCCGACAGATTGATTACTTGGTTGATAAACTTTTAGCACGCCACCAAACGAAGTGTTCTACTGCAAGTGGGCCTTTTAATCACATAATGCTTTCTACCGGCCCAGAAGTTACAGGCAAGTTACAGGCAAGTTTGACAGCAGGGGTGGCGCCAGCGGGGTGGGGGCCCCCGTCGGGGAGAGCTGGCCCCCTCGTCGGGGAGAAAAAACACAATTCGTCGGGGAGAAAAATAAATTATGTGTATTTTCTACATATTAGTAGACTCTAAAATCGATTAAATAAGCCTTTGAAACCCCTAAATTGCCAAAATTTTCGGGGGCTTCGCCCTCTGGATCACTGTCGAAGACTTTTAATCGAAGCTCGACCACGCCCACTTTGCTTTCGTCGGGGAAATCTAACCCTTCGTCGGGGGACCTCGCCCCCCCCCCCCCACCCCGTCGGGCAAATCCTGGTGCCACCCATGTTTGACAGACATACTGTACTACTGAGGGAAGGGGTTTTTTTTGTCTGAAACTGAACCACCACTGTAAAGACGAAATTCATCGCCACACTCCAAATCCAGCTTATTAACAGCCAATGGGAATGGGATATAGTAATACTGTACTAGCCTTTTTCACAGACGTATGCAGGATTTCTATCGTCACACTCGTTATCATTCCAGGTTTTGCTTACACTGCACTGTATTTCGACGCAATCTTCTGCACCTTGATCGTTCGACTCACCTTGTTTCCAATCTGTAAATACCGTAAGTCACATTTTTCTTGCGTTCATGCAAATAGGTTTCTTAATAATGATTAGGGCCTATCACATAATTCACAGTCGAAGCATATTGATAATGACCGTAAGTCACCTTTTTCTTGCGTTCATGCAAATAGGTTTCTAATAATGACTATCACATAATTCACAGTCGAAGCATATTGATAATTATTGCTACCTACTTTTGGTTAATGCACTAAGGTTAAATTACACCTGTAGATTTATTCCTCGTCTCTTCGACCAACTACAACGTTGTATACATTAAAGATGATTTGGCAATTTGTTTTAACACTTTTATTGAAGGTGTCAAGCCGAACTTCCAATAAATCTATTTTTAATTAAAATAATGATAATAATAATGATTTTAATAGCAATAATAATAGTTTATATAGTTTTATAAGTGCTTTGCAAATGAGAATGCACGTTGTACTAAAGATGATCTGGCAATCATTTTTAACATTCGTCATTGAAAGGGTAAAGCTGTGTTTTCAATCACTCTAATTCTAGTTTTAATTTATACAATTATAATACCGTACTAGTAATGTTAATTGTAATAATAATTACAATTAACATGATGACAATGACAATTATAATACTAGTAATGTTAATTGTAATAATAACATGTTTATATATAGTTTTAAGTACTTTAATATTTCTGTTTCATATTTTTGTTTCTTCGGTTGGTAGATCTCCCAAACAGATGGCCATTTCCTATTTTTGAGCTATCCTACCAGGTGCTACTGAGTCGTTTTTTTTTTATGTTTGTATTTTTATTTCGTATTTGTAAATTTGAAATGGTGAAAATAAATGATATGTGATATAATTATTATAGTTGACCAACGTGCACTTGCCGGAGAAAGTAAAGGGTTCATATTGCTTAACCACTGTCATGTATTCTCTACAAGAATGTCATTAAGACCGATCCAAGAATTTTGACATGAAATGACTATAAGATCATGAATTAAATCATTTTACTCTGCTGTGGATATGGTAGCCAAGGCTGCGTCCTCATCCGCACATCGATACTGTGCGTCATGCCAAGTAACAGCAGCACGGTTGAATTTGTAGCACGGACTTCCTTCAAATGAACTCCACGAATTCGGACACAGACCTGAGGTGTTAATGGAGGTATGTTTATTTAATCTTTCCAATACATACAATGCAGCACATTGCTGAATTGGGTTGAGGGGGAAGGGTGGTTGGCGGGCCTGCTGGGCCCCCTTGAATCCATGCCACTGATATATTCATTAAAAGTGTTTCAATTTACTCGTATTCATAATCATAGACTGTATTATATTATTAGTATTATTGTATAAATTGTTCAATAACGGCTATATAAAATTCGATTGACTAATTAGAATTTTAATACATTTAGGTTTGGCTAATGGAAGTTTTAAATTAGGAAAAACAGGAATCTATATGCAGATCATATTACACACGTACTATATAAGGGTCTTAATAAACTATGGTAGGCCTACATAAAAAGGAATAAATTGTTTATAAATCGTACACATTTGAGTTTGTAAAAATGTTGGCATAATAGGTTTACACACAACAATTTTAACGCCAAGTGTAGGCCCTACATTGTTTTCACAATAAATTGAACCCTTCCTTACCGTTCGCACCCACAAAATCTATGGAGTGGCAACGCACAGGGAACATACACAAGAGCACAAATTCATGACATCCATTCGTAATTCTTGTTGTTCTTTCCACTCGCTTTAAAAAGTGGGTTTCAACTATTACAGATTGGTGAAAACTGGAGTGACGATTGGTGTGATGTTCCCCCTCCCCCAACCCCCATTACAATTTCTTTTGGTCCCAAAAATCCCGTAAAAGCCAGGCCAAACGGCTCCAAATCGCATGAAAACCGACCATTTTGGACGTGTTTTTTAAGCTATCTCCGTTAATATTCCACCAATTTTGTTGGCCGTTTCGGTAACGTGTCCACAATTTATTTAGAAATAATGTTATTGTATTTATAATTTATAAATATGTATTGCTTTATCGGAATATTATTTTTACTGCGAGCGTATTGGAAAACAGTCAGTGTATTAAGGTTGGCTGGTTACCTATAGCAACCTAAAATATGGGGTCGGTTTTCACAAAAACAGCTCATTCATGAACACCTCACCTGATATTCATGGCCGTTAGTTGAAATAGTTAATTCCTTCAATGTTTTTGGTAGGCCTACATATATCACAAATCACTTCAAATAGGGGGAAAACGTTCATCAGTGTGTGAAAAAGGCACAGCAGCGAATTTATTTTCTACGCAGATTGAGGTCCTTCGGGATTAGTACCCCGTGATGGGTCAATTCTATAAGTCAGCTCTTTTTGTTATTATCCGGTATGGGTACACCACCACGGAGAAGGAGAAAAAGGACATAAATCGTGTACTGTAGTTGAGTTTGCATCCCGCATCACTGGAATCGAGCAGCTTTCGGTAGATATAATCTATCATGACCGTATGGTTAAAAAGTCAATGGCTATCGCTGGGGACAGAAATCACCGGCCAACCATTTGTTCACTCTGATGCGGTGTGGTCGCCGGTATCAATCACAAGTGACCGGGGCCGGGTTGATATGGTTATTGAACCAGACCGAATTTCATTGTATGTGTATTGTACATGTATATATGACAAATAAATATATTGAGTATTGAGTAAAAAGAGAATAAATCAAGCTTTCTTGTCATCTAAAAATTAATTTCATTGGCTGACAGTGGTCGTCGAAACGCCCACTTATGTAGAGGAGCGAAATCTTAAAATTTGACAATCTCTAATTCTAAAGAATAAGAAGGAATTGCGCCTTCTAATTTTAGCAACGTGTAGAAAACTGCGATTTTTCAGCCAATATTTGTCCGAACGAAGTGATTTTTGTTTGAGGGGTATAAATAATAATTTCTTTATTACATTGTATAAATATTAATTATCATAAAGCAATTTCTGTAATTAGTAGTTTTAAAACGTTGAACTATTATAAATTATTATCAACAGTTGGATTCCGGTCTCCCTAAGGCCACACTGAGGTCAGCGGGCCCGACCATATACAGTTCAGGTCAGTTAGTAAAAAGTGCTTAAGTTCCATGAATTTATACTATTAAAGGAAACTCCTATTCAATGCTTGATTATACTACTGTATTTTATTCTGCGTATAGTTTATTCTATTATGTGTGGTTTCCCCCTGCTCCAATCGATCGACGCCAACGGTAATGGAAGTTTTGGCTATCAAATTTATTACCGGAATTTTGTTATATATTATTAAAAGCCCATGCCCTTTCGACACCCTTATTTAGGGTCACATTTTCCACGAAGAAAAGATCATAACTTTCCCAACTTTGTCTTTTATATTTGGATATTTATATAAAGCAGCCTGACCGAGCGGTTTGAGGCACCAGTCATTTCGATGGTGAGGGTTCGAATCCAACCGCTGCCAAATGTTTAGCTATTCTTAACAATATATTTCAGTATTTATTTTTTTTTGGAACTTACAGTAGCCAGTAATTAGTAATTCGTCATTACGGATTACTGAACATATACTTTATTGGCACCAATGGGCTTTCGTAGGATACCCCTCATTGTGCGTCATAACTCCTAAGATTAGAAATTAAGTCTACCAAAGTAAGTCTACAAAATATGATGCCATGTAGAGACTTGTCCAGAAAGAACTTAAAAGTCAACAATCTGTTACTTGCATCCAAAAACATTATGAAACACAAGCTCCCGCTGGGAGCCTATTTCTATTAAAGACATGGAATGCACACACATTTTGGTATTGTTTTGCAAAATTCAGTAGGCCCAAATTATAATTTTCTTTAACTCTACCATTTTAAATGACATTCTTTGTGTTTCAAAAATAGCAATATAAAGTACCCGATAGTGTGATAGAATTGTTTTAGGTGCTAGTTTTAGCACCAGTCATTTCGGGTTCGAATTACACCACTACCACTAGGCCCTATGTAATTTCATTATAAATCTATATAGGCCTATCATTATGTATTCATTGTGTATGTGTCTTAGACGTCAGGTAAACGACGTAGACGTTGGTTCATAATTATAATCGTTCTCTGTATTCAAAATTATGACATTCTCCATTTTAAATTTTGCTTAAAGTTGTGAACATCACGATCAACTCTTCCCAACTTTATTATCTTTAAATTTAAACAAAAGGAGAGGCGCAAGTACACACATTGGCCTTATTAATAAGGCCTATAAGAAATTTAAATGTAAAAAAGAAGATATTACAAACATACATACCATTAATACCTTGGTAAATAGTAATTGGTAGGAAAATATAATTTACCTAATGCAATGCACATTTAACAAATGTCCTAATGCTCGTATTAATATTATTAATCTTGAAAATAAACATAACACAATTAACAAAATAAAACAAATGAATTGGTACCATAGTAAGTTGCCGGCAGGCCTTAATTATGAAAATCTCGATCAACACATTAATGTACCATGGCAGGGCCTTTGTAAGTAAGTAAAATTTATTCCATAATAAAACAAAACAAACAAAATGTACATTTCTAATTCTTATTCCATAATAAAACAAACAAAATGTACATTTCTGATTCAAGATTAATGAAAAAGGCAATTCAATGTGAAATGTTATATTCTAATATTAGGCAATAATCATTGCATTACTAAATATTGTTATTATTTCCGCCAGGAGATATATCATGTTTTCAGTCGTGTAAGTTTGTGTGTCACCTTCTTCGTATTTTCGTGTTTGTGTGCGTGTTCAAAATATCTTAAAAACGGCTGCACAGAATCTAAATTAGAGTTACAGGGAGCTGGTATGGCCCAATGAAGAAATAATTAAATTTTGCTGACGGTCCAGATTAGGGTGTCGATATTAGGACATGATTAATTACAAACTTGTTTACTTTCACGATCTCTCTGAGCTCATTTGTAAACAACAAGCACTAAAAAGTGGTTCTGCAATTAAAAGAGCGTTTGACAATTGTAGCAAAGAATATAAGTAAAATAGATAATTTTGTGTTAAAATCAATCAATATTTTTATCCACATGGTTATTTAATTGAAATTGTTCATTTGTCCATAAAAATGAGAACTGGAACCACTTTTCATTCTAATATTTTCACAGTAGGTAGATACAGATAATTATATCTACACATACCTGCCCAGATTGGATGCATAGTCAATGCCAATATTGAAATCATAATTAGACTGCACACCAGTGAAAACAAAAGAATTGAAAAAAACTGAATTTCAAAAAATAGAGTACAGTACGGTACTGTACAGCATTGTTGTTGTTTTTTTTTTGTTTTTTTTTGTTTTTGTTTTTTAATTTCTTCATTATCTTTGTGAATTTTCATCAAATCTTAGGATTAAAATGATATACAATACTGCACTGTATGAGAAGGTTTTAACTTTGCACCTTCCCATCCAAAATAAGATAATAAATAATAAAGAAAAATCCAACAAAAGTTTAATACAAATACAATAGATACATTTCTTAACACTAACTCTTTATTGAAATAAAAAATGCATCATATAAAAACACTAATAGGTAAACACGCCAATACAAAATATAAGTTAAATGTACTGCACATGCAAAAAAAATAAAATGTTATGTAAGTATAAAATAAAGTTCTGGCAGGAGTGTGATATGTTAATCTTTAAAATAGATTAAAATATAATTATTTAACATTAAAAGTCATAGAAGTTTACTGTACAGTACTACAGTATAAGCTTAAAAAATAATCTAAAAAATGACACAAGAAAGACTGATCCCACTCATAAATAATATTGCTTTTAGCGCTTTAGTAAATGTAACTAACATGATCTATTAAAACATCCAAAATTAAGAAAAAGGTTTTGGCTTAAGTTTAATACTGTATTTCAATTTTATAAACAAGACATAAAAAGTAATCAAGTGGTAACATTATATAGCACAGTACACAAAAAAAAATAGAAAAATATGGCACAAGAAAGAATGATCACATTTATAAAAAATATTGCTTCCAATAGTTTAATAAATGCCACTAAACATAATCTACAGTTTCAAACATTTTTAGGACTAAGTGTAAATTATTTCAATGTACCCAGACCTACAAAATGTATTCATACAACACAATCAATAATTCAACTTGTAACACAGTTTGTCGAAATTATGCACCAATTCAGAAAACATAATTAATTTGGAACTTTTTATACTGTACTTCTTAAGGATTGGCTCCAACATTTTCTGTTCATCCACTGACATTTCCCGTTTATGTATGTGCAATTCTTGAAGTACACGTCTAAACTTGATGAGCGGTTCCCTAACAAAAAACCACCTGTGGATGAGATTAAGAGGTAGAAATGCCTTGTCGTACCTGGTGATGCAAGGTATTTGAACACCGTTGAATGAGTGTTTCACCAGCCCCTGGGCAGGGGTTTCCATTTCATACTTTCTTTTGCCTGGTATGTGATCTTGAACACATGGCGGTTGCAAGGCATCTGTTGTTTTAGTGATAGTTTTCATCTTTGAATTTTCCAAGGCTCCTTTAACACCCTCCGACATCTCTGCCTTTTGGCGCACACAACTTGTAGATTCTTGGTCCTGCTTTTTCTCAGAATTATACTTTTTAATTAGATTTTTAAAATGATGTATATATTTTGATTCTTTAGGGTCGTAATTTGTAACCTCTACAGTATGTTCTCTATTAGTATTTTTGGTGGTGTATGGTTTAGGCATTCTGGTGGATGTAATGCACATTTGTTGAGGTGTTTTCGGAGAAACGGACTTTTCAGAGGATGTTAAAGCAGCATCTGCTAAGTGTGTAGGTAAGTATTGCGCATGCATTGGAACATTCTTCTGATTTAGCTGACAGCCAGGTACACCTTCAGATTTCATTAGCTGATTCTCATGGATTTCTTTCAAGTGAGATTTCTTTTGAAGTTTGCTGTTGATGTCCCTTTTAATGGTTTTCTGTTGGTGTTCCCTACTTCTAATAAAACTTGCTCCAGGTGATAGACGTAATTTTTTGGTTTTATATTCACATTTTATACTCTTATGGACGTTTTTCAAGCACGATTTCTTATAAAGTTTGCTGTTCACGTCCTTTGTTAAGGTGTCCTGTTGTTGCCCTGTATTTCTGAAATAGGCATCAGAGGAATGATACCTCTTTTTAGTTTTATATTTCATTTCTGGAACTTTCATATCAGTATTGCACCTTTTATGCTCACCTGGCACCAACTCACCTGGTAATGTTGTATTAATACTGTCTAAATTTTTCTTACACATTTTCATTTTTGATATTTCTTCTTTGAGATGGAAATTAATTTCTTGCTCATCTCGTTTACGTTTTCTCACATTTCCATGTCTGATGTTTAACAATTCTACCCGACATTCAGGTAGCTTTTCAATAATCACTTTTAAATTAGAAGCAGAGAGATCTTTTCTGGATGAATGCTCTCCATTATTTTTTAGATTCTCTGTTGGAAAACTAACTTGATAGTCAAAATCGGAAGGCAGTTTTTCTGCAATTACTTTCAAATTAGGAGCAAATAGTTCTTTTCCTTTGGACTGTCTTGGATTGTGCCGGAAGAGATCTCGAACATCAGCAGACATATTTGTTGCTAACATATTATGCATCAGTTGTGTGACAGACTCGCCTTCACTGTATGAAAGAATTGGTCTTGATGAAGTCTTATTTCTGCAAGTCATTATGTTTATAATTGAATAATCAGCTGGTAATTGTTTATCTTCATCACTCAAAATCTTAATCTTCAACTTATTTTCCTTGAACATCTGATTAAAATTGCAGCCACTTTGAGCATTAGTACTTTGGGGAACTGCTGTTAATTGTGGTGCTATATATTCATCATCTGACTGTGGTTCTTTCTTAATGTCAGTAATTGTTTTGCCATGGCCTGAAAGAGGTGTGGTTGACAAGACAGATTCTCGACTGTTAACTGTATCAGCATTTCCTTCAGCAGAACATTCAATAATTTTATTTTGTGAACTGAAAGTGTCTGCTACTTTTGTTATTTTACCATTTGTCACAGAATACTTATGGTTGGTTGACTGAGTAGATGGAGTTGACAGATGGCTGTCTAGCTTCTCTTTGCATAATGCAAGAGAGGCAACTGCTGAATCATTCATTACCATGCTCTTGCCCTTTTTTGTATGTAAATCAGTCACCTGTGGTAAGTCTGACGGATTCTTCATTAAGCTACAATCCTCATTGGATAACTTTGTACTTGTACCATCATCTGACTGTGGTTCTTTCTTAATGTCAGTAATTGTTTTGCCATGGCCTGAAAGAGCTGTGGTTGACAAGACAGATTCTCGACTGTTAACTGTATCAGCATTTCCTTTAGCAGAACATTCTATAATTTTATTTTGTGAATTGAAAGTGTCTGCTACTTTTGTTATTTTACCATTTGTCACAGAATACTTATGGTTGGTTGACTGAGTAGATGAATTTGACAGATGGCTATCTAGCTTCTCTTTGCATAATGCAAGAGAGGCAACGGCTGAATCATTCATTACCATGCTCTTGCCCTTTTGTGTATGTAAATCAGTCACCTGTGGTAAGTCTGATGGATTCTTCATTAAGCTACAATCCTCACTGGATAACTCTGTATTTGAATTATCTGCATGAATTAGATCTGATGAACACTGACTTGGTTTACCATCTCCATCTCTAAAAACTGATGAATTCATTGATTGTTTTTTATATAGGATATCCAGTGAACTCATTAGTCGACCATTTGTACACAGATTTGAATAATTCTTTGGTTTGTTGCACTTAGCATCATCATTATGTCCATCCTTTTCTGGTGACATATTAAGAAGATTCTTCATTGGACCACAGCTGTTAATGCTGGTGTCAAGATTACTTGCATGTGATGCATCTGACAAATTTTGCACAGGCCTTTTCAAATCATTTGTTAAGTTATTTGCAAGCTGTGTAGCTGGTGGTTTTTGCATCTTATCCCACCTAAAAATGGTGTTTGCATTAGGTTCTTCTAATAGCTGTGGGTATTTTTTATAAAGTTCATCTGCAGACTTCTGTACTGGTTTATTACAGGATGACTTCTTGTTGGGGTATATTGAACGATCATCTGCAGATTTCTGTACGGGTTCATTAATGGATGTCTTGTTGTTGGGGTATATTGAATGATCATCTGCAGATTTCTGTACAGGTTCATTACAGGATGCCTTGTTGTTGGGGTATATTGAATGATCATCTGCAGATTTCTGTACGGGTTCATTACACGATGTCTTGTTGGGGTATACTGAATGATCATCTGCAGATTTCTGTACAGGGTCATTACACAATGTCTTGTTGTTGGGGTATATTGAATGATCATCTGCAGATTTCTGTACGGGTTCATTACATGATGTCTTGTTGAGGTATACTGAATGATCATCTGCAGATTTCTGTATGGGTTCATTACAGGATGTCTTCTTGGGGTATATTGAATGATCATCTGCAGACTTCTGTACTGGTTGATTATTAGGTGTCTTGTTGTATGCATATATTGAATAGCATTCATCTACAGACACTTGTACCAGCTCACGATGGGGTACACTGCATACACTCTGGCTGTTTGGGTATTTAGTACAGTGTTTATCTGCAGTCTTTACTACCGGCTCACTAAGAGTTACATTACATAACTTCTGACTGTTTGAGTATTTTTCACAGTGTTCATCTGCATACATCTGCTTGATTGGCTGTTCTGCAAAATGCTCATCTGTAGACTTCTGAGCATTATGTTTACCTGAAAGTCTCTGTCCCTGCTCAGTACGACTTAAATTACATGAAATCTGGGTGTTTGGGTATACTGTCAACTTTTGTACCAGTTCACTACAACGTATGTTAGAAGATATATGAATGTTTGAGTATTTTGCATGATGTTCATTCTCAGACTCCTGTTTTGATGCACTACAACCTGCATTGTATGAAGTCTGGATGGTTGGATATATAGCATTATGCCCATCTGCAGGCTTCGGTACAGGTTCAATTTGAGATGGCTGGCTGAGCATATATTTTAAATGGGGTTTATCTGCAGATTTTTGTGCCATCTCATCACTATTACTCTCATTACATGACTTCTGGATGGCTGGGTATGTATGGTGTACAATTAGAGGCTTCTGTTGGTTACCACAAGGTATAGTACAGGACGTCTGACTGACTTGTTCTGGGTTACCACAAGGTATAGTACAGGATGTCTGGCTGATTGGGACTTTAACACCATGTTCCTCTGCAGACTTCTGTACTGATTCACTTCGAACTATATTACAAGAAGAATGGATGTTTGGGTGCATGTTACTGTGTTCATCTGCAGACTTAGGTACCAACTCAATATAAGGTGCATTACAAGGTGTCTGGTTGTTTTGTACCAGCTCACCATATTTAAGAAATTGTAGTATCTCATTAAAAGTCTGTTGTTTATAAGGGTATTTTGCCGAGTATTCATGTGTAGGCCAATGCAATTGTTCACTCTTCACATGAAGATTGTTTGCATGCAATAAATCAATTTTTTTTTCATCATTTTGCTTGATTTCAATGTTTCCAAGTACATCAGATTTATCTGATGTTGTAGAGCTTACTATAGGATTCAGGTTAGTAGATATGGTTATACCTGAATTAGGATGGCTCTCTGTATGTTGAACAGTGTTTTTTTGGTGTCTGACAGGAAAACTGGATATGAGTTCATTGCCATTATAGGCACTGTTGACCTGACAGAGTGAAACTGATGTGTTGTCAGGACTAATACTCCACACTGACTCTACTTTTGGCATAACATTGCTTATATCTGGTTGTTTTTGACTATTTCCCTTCGGTAATTCCATAACAACTTGTTTTGATGACACCGGCATAGGTTTAACAAAATCTTCAGAATTACTGCATAATGAAACTTTAGTTTCAGGGTCAGGAGCAAGACTTCTGACATCAACTATTATTGGCACAACACTCTGAGATCTGGCATTAGACTTTGTTTCTGGAATAGGATCTGAATTTACCTCCAGTGATCCTGTATATTTTTGGCTTTCAGAATTTAAATTGTGGTACAGAGATGATGAATACTTCATAGTACTTATTTCAACTTGTTCCTTAGAAAAACAGTGTCCCTTCGGTCCTTTCATCAGCATAGCTTTCTCAAATTCTGCTTTTCCAAGTTCAACCGGATTTAAACTTTGCGTGTTAATAATTCTTGGCATGTAAGAATACCTCAACATGGCATGTTGCTGAGAATTCATGGCAGGTCTTGTGACATTAATACTGCTATGAGGGTAAACCTGATGAGTGTCATCAACATAGTTGTTTGCTTGGTATTTTACACCACTCTGCATATATTGAATTCTGGATAACATTCTTTCGTGGAACGACTGATTGGTAACAGTTGCTCCATTATGTGATGGCGGCATAACATATGATTGCAATCCATTATGAACAATGCCTCTAACACCAAGACCTGGGTTGTTGTTCCAACTGAATGAACTACTGTTTATAGAGTTTCTGTAATCTGGTATCTGTGGCACAACACTGTAACCATTAATCATTGATGCCATTGGTTGGTTAACAGGCATATATTTGCCACTGTAGAATGCAACATTATTTTGTAAATTCCCTTGCATTTTTAGATATTGGTTTGTAAGAACATCCTTCAATAAACTTTTTCCCAATTATCAATATCTGAAAAAAAAAAATGAAAACAACCTTGTTTAGAATGACTTTAAATTAGTTATTAAATATATTTTGTATGTATGTATAAATGGCAATAAATGAAGGGTAACTGACATACTGTATTATACAAAATGCTATAATTATATATTATAAGTTTGTAAAGTAATACGCACTTCCCGGAAACAAACTTATACCAAATTCACAAGTACAACAAAAGTGTAACAAAATGTAACAAATTGTTACATGGATATCCACTGAGATATTTCTACCAAAATTCATTGCATTCACACACATACTTTCTATCCATATAAAAGTATCACAACACACTAAGCTAAAGACTGATTTATGCTAATTTATTGATTTAATTTTTTGCTATTTTGCAGCATTTAAATAGTTGGAAGATGTAAAAAATACAAGGTCTTTTAATCTTGAAAGCTCTGATGAGGGCAGTATAATAAATGCAGTAGAATACATTGGCCCTAATGGCTGCCCATACACACAAGAGCAATCTCTCACCCGTCTATGCTTTTGATGGTTATACATTTTGAATAAAGATACAGATCTGTCTCTTATACACCTCT